ATCATAACATGTTTTAAAAAGTACAATCTTTTATTTGCTCAGTCGATTCGCCCGACAAAACTGGTGTCAAAAATCTTTTTAGCTTCTGAAATCGCTTCTTCACTGAGAAACGAATTTTCAAAAAAAAAGTACTATATTTCGTATTTAAAATACTTTGACCTCATCTTTTATTCAAAGTTCTAAAACCAGATTTCATTTAAAAATTTATCAAAATAACTTATCTTTCAGGTCCCCAAAATAGAAGTTTTGAAGTCAAAAAAATTCCATGACAAATTTTTTGAATTTTTGTAAAAAGTGAAATTTTGAGCATATAACAAAACATCTCGATTACTCTACCTGATCGTGTGGCCATGACAATTCCGTACAAAAGTGACATAAAAGATTGGAAGAAAACGTTTGTAAGGGGGCTCGCTTGGTCATGTAAAAATTACCTAATCCTAGAGATAAACTGTTATACTTTTTAGGTCTTGTCCAACATGATCAAATCAAAGGAGAGCTGGTCAAACAAGGTGGTATACCCTTACTAATTCGATGTATTACGGAAACAAAGTTTGATGTAGTTAAAGTTCAACAACGTGCTTTAGAAATCCTCTGGGCAATGACATTCAACGAGCAAGCAGCTGATGAACTAAAACATGATGAAAAATTCATGACACAAGTCAAGATACTGTTATCATCGAACGAAAAGGGTGTACAAAAAGCAGCTGAAGGTATCATCTGGAAACTGGAAAAAGAAGCCGAATTTATGGTTAAACAGGAGCAAGGAGACAAGATTTCTGAGCTCAATTCAGCTACATCTATTGCTGCAACCGCAAAAGCAGAAGCACTGGGCAATTCTCCTGCATACAAATATGACATAATGATCAGTTATTCTCATTCCGACAAAGATTTGTGTTATCAAATACAAGAACGATTGGTCAAAGAAAAATATGGTGTTTGGCTTGATCGAGACAATCTCTATGGGTCGACAATGGAAGCAATGGCGGATGCAATTGAAAACGCAGAATTTGTTCTGCTCTGCATGTCGGACACGTATAAACAAAGTGCCTACTGTCGATCCGAAGCCCATTATGCATTTGAGCGTCGTTGTCAAATTATTCCGCTAATCATGAAAGAGAAATACAAGCCCGATGGATGGTTGGGTTTCATTGTTAGTGGACGACTCTACATTGATTTTTCAAAGATGACCTTCGATAGTGCCTATGAAAGATTGAAATCAGAAATTCTGCAACATCGAAGTAGGAGCATAAACGGACCACCAAACAAACAAGATCGCATCAAAGGCCATAATTTTCCGCCTGAAAACAAAACAGAACAACAGCAAAAAT